AGGGGCAGCTTGGGAGAAATGCATGGTTCAAAGGCCCAGGGTAGAACAAGGAGAGGCAGTGAGCAAGCGTGAGAAGAAGCGTGTAACTAGGAGTGCTCACAACCCCTCATTCAGCCCTCACTACTGTCTCTCGGGGTGAAGTCCCATGAGTGAATATTGCTTGAAAAACTGAGTTACCTTGAAGGTGAGCTAGACCTGGAACTCACTCTGCCCGGGCATGAAAAAGTACCAGGCATCGGAGGAGAAAGGGATCAGGGCATTGGCTACACTATGCTCTGATCCAGAACTGCTAAAGGACTTGTGCGTGCTGGGTATTTCTTGGGATCAAGCCCAAGAAATGCTGATGCTGCCCGGTGGCTGTAGGAGGTGGGCTGGAGGGAGAGAAATGAGTGAATGCCTGAATTTAGAGGTGAGCAGAGGTGGCATGAGTGCAAGCGCAGAGGAGACACAGTCCCACTCGTGCTCTGGAAAGGACAGCCTGAACAGCAGGCGAGCTTGGGTCTGGAGGGTGGAAGAGGCTAAAACAGGGCAGGAGATAGTACTGCTGTTCGGGTTCACGTTCCCTTTCCGTCCACAGAAACCTGTCTGCACAATCCCTGCCCACGACGGGCCCCTGGCTGCGCTTACCTTCAACTCAGCTGGATCGAAGCTGGCGAGCGCTTCAGAGAAAGTGAGTGAGAGGTCTGCTGCAGACATGCCCAGCATGCTGGCCAGGCTCAAGCAGCATGCCTGCAGAGACGGGTGGGCAAGGCCAGGTCCTCTTGGGGCTGGTTCAATGTGGTTCTGTTTTAGAAAGGTCTAGCTCCGGTCTTGATCGAGGGGAGAGGCAGGGACAGGTGTGATGGCCTTGTCAAGCCAGAGAGCTGATGTTGCTTTGGGTGGGAAGATGGAGATGGCTTCTGCGTGTTGGACTTTCCCCAGGAAAGCTACGGGGAGGAGGCCTTTTCTGCTTGCTGTGTGACCTCCCCTCTGCACTTTTGCAGGGCACCGTCATCCGTGTGTTCTCCGTGCCTGAAGGGCAAAAGCTCTATGAATTCAGGAGAGGAATGAAGAGGTCAGTTTTGCTCCTTCGACTTGGTGACAAGCTCGGATCAAGTAGCGGTCCTACCCACCTTCTGTGCCGGGGCAGTCCTCACCATCTACACTGTGGCAGCCTTCCCCTTTCCTGCCAGCCCGGTGAAATATCTCTGTGCTTCAGTCCCCTGAATGCTTCCTTTTGCCCAGCACTGGCAGGCGCTTGCTTCCTAGGCATGGTATCGCTGGCAGGCTGTCCCCTCAGTTGTGGGAGGAAGCCGGATCCAGGTAGCACCAGAAGGTCACATATCCATGGAGAGGGCCTTGCGAAGCATCCCGGTGCCATGAAGCCGTTTTGCTTTGGCTGTGTGTAGTGATTCCCACCTGCCCCTTGCAGAAGAGGGTGATTGCGGAGAATAGGCGCGCGTTCAGTGCCCCGACTCCATGTTCTTTCCTGCTTAAAGTAGTGAAGTCAAGATAGCCAGCAGCCTGATTGTGGTGTTAAATGCTGCTGTTGTGATTCAGTTTGGGGTTTACCTCCATTTTACCCAAGTATAAACACCTGCAAAGCAGGGGCCTCCGACTGGCGGGGGAAGAGAGGCGTATCTGAATTGTCCCATGCCTTGCAGCATGGAAGAAGTTTTGGGTCATCGCATCGAGCTCTTCATCAACACTGTAGCCCTGCCATGCTGGAAAACTCTACTGCTTCAGCTATTATTAGTAACCCATTGTATTTGCTATGTGAAGGGGATCAAGCACCATCAGTATAAGGCCCCTTTAAACTCTCATACCTGCATATACACAAAGGACTGTGCCTGCCTGTCGGTTCTCCTGACCATCCTGACACATCCCAGTACAAAGGGAGAGTATAGGCCTGGCCTCAGCAGCACCGGCAAGCAGCAGCCCTCCCTGCTGATCAGCAAACTCTGATCTGAGCATGGTGCCTCTCCGTGCCGTCTACTCCCCACTTTCCATGGCACCAGCTCCTGCCAGAAGCTATCCTGCTCCTGCGGTTTGCCCCTTGCTGGGCGGCTGGGGGATGCTGACAGCCATGTCACATCTGGCAGGTTCCCCTGATGCACTGTGCCTCTGATCTGGCATCCTTGCTGGAGCGGGGGAAATAGGGCTGCCACTCCATTTTCAGGCAGACCTCTCGGGTGGGGCTTAGTGTGACCAGCAGCATCCCCAGTCCAAGCTAACGATGTGCGGCCCCAGCTTTCCTGCCAGTGTGGCAGCACCTGAGTGGGCAGGAGGTTTGGCTAGTCTCTGCCGCCTCCTCATCCCCTGCCAGCAGGGAGGATCCGTAGTTGTCTGCATGTGGCCATTGCAGTGTGCTATGAAATAACCAGCCCCCTTGCTTTCCTGGCCGCAGGTATGTGAACATCAGCTCTCTCGTGTTCAGCATGGACTCGCAGTTCCTCTGTGCTTCGAGCAACACTGAGACTGTGCACATCTTTAAACTGGAACATCTCACAGACAGGTGAGACACACTGCATAACCCAGGGACTCTCTTTTCCTCTGCCAGGCATAGTCGCACACTCCTGCTACCATGTTAATCAGGCCTCAGACTTTGCCCTCAATGACACCAGCAGCAAACTGCCTCAGTGGCTTAATACTCTCAAGGATTTGCTGCTTTGGAAACATGGCCTGTATCCCTGCTGCTAGCTGTCACCGCCCGAGGCACATTGTGGGCTTGCCTTTCTTTGGCTTTGCCCACCTCCTGCTTCCATGGCTCCCTGCCAGCGCTCGACATTGTTGAGCAAGGCTCCCCCTCTCAGCAGGATGCTGCTGATGTCAGAGTTGCTATAGCAAATGTAGGCAGCGTTGCTAAGAAGCCGCTGGGTGCATGCCACTGGAAGCAGGGGAAGGGTCTTGCTGCAGGCGGTCAAGTGCTTAGCTGGCCACCAGGTTCAGGCAGTTCACCTACTGGGAGCTTTTCCATCACCTGCGGGAACTTGTCACAACTTGCTGCACTGAACTGGATCCACGGCAGGTCTGGGACCGCAGCGCAAGCCTGCCCTGGACAACATTGCTACTCCGATTCCTTCATTCAGCTGCTGCTCTGAGGTGGCTTCAGCTGGGGAGGTGCAAATGAGGGGTTTGGGAAACATTTCCTGTAGTGCCTGTCTGTCCAGGCCAGCTCTTCACTGCAGCATGAGAGGTCTGTGCATTGCTGCAAGTGGGGAGCCTATCCCCCCTCAGAGCCCAAAGTGCTCTGCAGGAGGCCCAGTACCACTGTCAGAGATATGCTGTCTTCAAGGATCAGGTGAGGGTGCGAGGGACTGTTTTAAAGCAAGACCAGGGCAGCTTCCAAATCCAGTAGCACGGAGCAGCCTGCATTTCAGGCTAGTGTGATAAACAGGTGCATTGCGCCTGAAGTCACCCCCACTTCCATCCTCTGACCACAGGCCAGAGTTAGTCTGCCCTGGCAACCTGGCCCATCTGCATGCTCGTAAAGCCTCAAGAGTTGCAGACTAAATGTCTGGTCTTAGGTCTCTTCTGGCCAAATCCTTCCCATCCTGGCAGACCAGCCACTTGTGGAATAACACGTTACTTTCCCCCCCTCACAGTTGCCCTCCTGGCAAAGGTGACGGCACAGACTATGCCTGGGCTGGCATATTTTAACATGAAAGCAGGGTCTGCATGACTGGCCATATCCAGCAAACCAGCTTGCAAAAGTCTCCATGAGAGAGGGGGAATGTGCAGAAATCCCCAGCAGGGCACTGCTCTTGCCTAGTCAGCAAACCGTGTTGATAGGGCTAAGAAGTTATGCAAAAGTGGTTCAGGAAACTCTTGCATGCAGTTGCACCAACTGGCCAAGGGCAACTTGATTAATAGCTATTTCAATCTAGATGTACTTGCTAAGTAGCTGCAGCCTGTGTGGTTTTGCTGATGGTAGTGGCGGTAGGCACTGCACACAGCCCAAGTGACAAGTGTTCTCTTGCCCCCCAGCCGGCCAGAAGAGCCTCCAACTTGGGGCGGTTACATGGGGAAGATGTTCATGGCAGCTACCAACTACCTCCCTGCTCAAGTGTCAGGCATGATGAGCCAGGACCGAGCCTTTGCCACCGTGCGTTTGAACTTCTCGGGACAAAGGAACATCTGTGTGCTCTCCACGTATGTAAGAGCATCTGCATGCTCATGCCCCAGTGGCTTGCAGAGGGTACCCTGCACACATAAGTTTGGTTTACTGATACAGCACCTTCGCTGTTGTGGGCCAGCAGAAAAGGGGGCAGCATCTCCCGGGGCTAGATTGCCTTCTCCAAACCTCCTCAGCATGCGGTGCCTCTGGGTGGAGGTACAGACCAGGCCTTGCCCTCCCCACTGGCACGTAGGCTTGGTCAATGCACAAACTTGCACCAGCTTAATTAATCCAAAGCAAAGACCCATGTGGATACGCCAACTGCAGAAGGCTAGCCATTATACAGGAGTATTGCAAGCTTCTTCCTCATGAGCTGAACCGAAATAGGTCTGATTTAAACTGAAATAAGCGTGTTTCCATGGGCGTTTGCACTGGTTTAACTACATCTGTTGCAAATGACACCTTAGCTGGCGGTGCCGTTTACTCCCAAACTCTGATCCTTCCTGAGCCCAGATGAAAAGTGTCACCCCAAACTTGAGGGGGTGGGGTAATCGCTGCCACCCCACCCCCAGTTCCTGGTCTGGCCTTGACAGATTTAACCCCTTGTCTCCCTGCTGGGGCCACCTTCCTATGTTGATGTTAGCATGTAGGTCCACGAGTTCATTTTTCATTAGGATCCAGAAGCTGCCTCGACTGTTGGTTACCACATCAGATGGACACCTTTATATCTACAATCTGGACCCTCAAGATGGAGGACAGTGCATCTTAATTAAGAAACACAGGTAACTGCATCCCAGATGCTCAGATATACCATACATGTTCCATGTATGGCCTGTATCTTTAAAGCATAGAAAAAGGGAAACCTCATCTAATAGTGAGCCTGCAGGGGCCAGGATTGCAGATTTGCACTTTAGCTGTCCAGCTGGAGGACAACCTGGCTGAGAGCTGATTTCTTTTTTGCATGGGGAAAGTAAGCAGCCTGTCCCTCAGGAGAGGCTTTATCCAGCTTTTAAATCCTCTAGTTTTCATTGCACCATGCCACAGACATGTGTGATAGCAGAAGGAAAGGACCCCTGTATGGCAGGGGCAGGAGCATTAGATTTAATGCCATCTCCGTGCTACAGAACGACGGGACAGGGATGATTGTGCCGAGCTGGCAGGCAACCTCTGTAAATAAATGCACGCAAGCAAGCAACTGCAAAGTCAGCCCTTCCGGGCAGTTGTGTAATTTGTATGCAAATGTGAATGACATAACCCAGCGGCGCTACCCTGCGGGTTGGGTGCGAGATAAGATGTATTCTGAGCACTGGCTGGGCCGGCTGGTAGGTACATGCCGGCAGTCTGCTCGGTCCAAAAAACAAATGCACTTGAAAGCTGAGCAGCCCAGAGTACAGCGTACTCCATCCTGCCTGGCTCATTCAGACACCCGTGACACCTGCATGGTCTTGCCATGTACCTACTACCCAGAGCTGGCACCAGAGTGGGTGTTTCGACTTAACTTCTAGTCTCCTTATTTAGGAAGATTGGCCTGGCAAGGACCTCCTGGGTCATCAAGTGCATTTGCCAGCCACTGCAGCCCACCAGGCCCTGTATTCCTCCCACGGCACTGCTGGAAGACTGTTCCCAAACCCCTCTAAAACTTGCTCCTAGTTTCCAACCTAAGTCATTCACAGCCAGTTCATACCTGTCTTCTTGTTCTTGCATTGTTGGCTTCCCTAGTTCTTGTCCCCACCCATGTACTTATAGAGGGCAGGCAGAGCCCTTTTGTGGGCTCCTGATGTTGTTGGCATGCAGAGGGGCCTTCAGAGGAATGGGTTACCTTGACCCTGCACCCCCATTGCTGTGTGATGGGCTTAGGGGTGGTCAGGATTATTGCAGGGGGGGAGTGCAGTTTCCAAACTAATTCTTTCCCCCTCGGTTGCTTCCATGCAATTAGTCTGCTCGGGCCAAGGAAGATGGAAGAGAACAAAGAAAATGACCTCCGGCCTCCATTACCTCAGTCCTACGCAGCAACAGTAGCCAGACAGAGTATGACGCCTTCGACCTCGTCCATGCCAGGTGAGAGCGAGCTGGGTGTGCCTGCTTGCGGGCTGAGTGCTGACAGGCTCCCGCGGTGAATTCGTCCGCTACTGAGCAGGGGGTTCCCCTGTGTCTGCATCAGCAGTTTCCACAAGCGCAGGCTGTGCAGCAGGTCGAGGAGTTTTGTTCTGGTTTGTTACCAAGGGCATAGTCCTGATTCCTGCTACTGGCTCAAACCAAAGTAGTTCTTATGCCTCCCAGGGGTCTGTCAGGACCCTCTGGCACCCAGCTGATTGCAGGATGTAGCTTCACTGCAAATGAAAGCCCGTTCCACTGTGCTGGCCTGCTCCCACCCCTACTCCATAGTAGCGTGACCGATTCTAATAGCGTAGGAGGATGCCATCATGATCAGAGTGCATATCTGCACATCCTCCCTCGGATCCTCCTCTCCAATACCCTTCGTTACTCCGGGCAAGTCACTTAACCCTTGTGCCTTGAATGAAAATGCAGATCTGTATGCTGAATGTGGCTCAGGAGAGTTGTGAGGTTAGATATTAATAACAACTGAACACTTTGCAGCACTGAAGTGCATTTTGGAGAGCTCCCACTCACAGAAGCACTCCATAAAGGCTTAGTGGTGCTCCTATTCCCCCTGCTCCTTTGTAGCAGGGAGTCCTAGGGCAGGACCCAGGGCTGTAAGTCCAGGTGTCTCTGCCTTTCCTTCTTGCTAACAGCCACCACACCCCGCAGCAGACTCTCCTGGCTCCAAGCTTTTACTCCCTAGCGTTGATCTCAAGGTTTGCCCTCACATGCAGTGCCTGGGATCTGTTTTACATGCCCAAGCACACTGAAAGGAGTAAATAATTCACACGTCAAGGGCAAAATACTTCCATTTCTGACGAGTCTGGGCCACTGAATTTTGCCTTTCGTGAGCAAACCGATTACAACTGGTTACTGCAAAGTAGCACTTTGTTTTCCTACTTCACTGGAGTTCCCCGGGGATCAATTAGCTCATGCTTATTTAACCATCTGGAATCCAAATGATACAATGCTTTGACAATATGAAGCACTATCAGTGCTAAGCATGCTTAATAATGGTCACGACCATGCTACATCTCCACTGGAAACAGCACTAAGTGCATCATTGCTTGCATTACAGTGTTAGACAGCAGGTCAGAAGACTTGATTGAAACTGTGGCTATAAGAAACGTCAGATCTCCATGTTCCTGTGCCACAATCACAAGAGCCTGCTCAACCCACTGTGCCTTTTGGTACAGTAGCAAGCTCCAAACAAACACGTGATACTCCTCAGTCTTCGGGCTTGCTTACACTCCAGTAGGTCTAGCATGCAGACTAGGGCTTGCTCCGGGGTGACTACACCACCACAGGGACAGCAGTCCTGCTGGATATTTTACCCAGTGTGACTGGAAATATCTATAATTAAAAGCACAAAGGAAGCCTCGAGTTTCAGCTACTTGGAGTAAGTCAGCCGTGCCCAAACCTGTACTTGGGCGCAACGTGTGTGACCCACCTGTGCTTGTGCAGATCAGAAACAGATGCCCTGCCAAGGTACTTCTGCAGGAATCGGTCTCTTGTTAGAGAAATCCCTCAGGAGCAGCTCGCTGCCAGGAGCCACAAGAGCGTTTTAAAGGCAATCGCTTGGTCATGGGGATATTAACCCAAGGAATTAAAAGAGTAATGTGAAATAGTATGTAGCATTAATAGGATTTCAGCTTGGAACTGCAAGCAGGTGATCATTTCTCAAAGCATTAATTGGCATAGTGGAATACCTGCCCCTCTATTCATGCAGATCTCTTGTAAGCTGCTTTCTCTCTTGCATCCCATAGAAAGGAGCGCTGCCGCTTTCTGTTCTTCCAGCCCTTCTTCACTCTTCTGCTAAACCTAAGTAGCCATTAAAATAGCTGCATCAAATTAGCCAGGCCCTCTGTAGTGGGAAGCAGCAGGCTAATGCTGCCAAAGCTAGTACATTAATCCATTCCCTAGCTTACAATGTTGGCTAAGACGCTTTCCCCTATTGCCACTTCTGTTCTGCCGAGCAGATGGGGAATCCAGCTCCGTGCTCCAATGCAGTGAACGCTGCCTGCCCACTTCTAGCCTCCTTTGATTCCTCTGTCCCAAGTGTTTTGCTTCTCTCTGTTTTTGCAGGTTACTCAGAAGATGGGGGTGCCCTGAGAGGAGAGGTTATCCCAGAGCATGAGTTTGCAACAGGACCCGTGTGCCTTGATGATGAGAATGAGTTCCCTCCTGTGAGCATTAGAAGTCTCTAAAACAGCAATACAGTTGAGAAGAAAGTATTAACCTCTTACAGCAGAGATGTGTTTCTTCTCTCCCTGTTCTGCCCTAATCTCTTATTATCACTAATTCTGTATGAGGACACTGCCAGGAAGCTTCTACCCACCCAGCTGAGGAGAGATGGAGGAGAGGTCTGCAAGACCTAATGCTGATTAGAGATGGGCTCAAACACCACCCCCCAAAATCTGCACGCCTGCGGACCTGGGAGAAGGTCTGAACTGGGCGCATCTCTAATACAGAGAGAGAGCAGAAGTTTTTATTGCAACCATAGAAAAGCATTTTTAAAAGGAAATAAATCCGGCCCTATAGGATTTTTCAGTCCACTGGGCTACAGCACTTACAAGCCATCAGGGTAAATATGAAACTGCTGATCCATCCTTTAATTTCCAAACGGAGTGAAATGCAACATGTTCCCCCCTATCCCAGCATAAGCAGTGAAAAATATACCACAATTGGCAATTTCTAGTATTTTAACAGGGCATTAATCACTGGGCGGCAACATCTTGGCTTTTTAAAACTGACTGTGCTCCTGGCCGTGTCTTTCCAATCCTTATCCAAGTATTTTACTATGTTATGCAATTATTATTTTAGTGGGCATCTAGATATTGGTTACCTGTGATGATTGTTGAGAGTAGTTAGGCAGCATCTTGGTAATCATAACACCTTAATACAGCAGAGCATTTTGAGCAGACCAAATTGCCGAGGCATTTTAAAACAGGCAACGCTTGAGTTTTTCCACCCGTCCTACGACAGGAGCTTTGCCAGGGTGAGGAGGGAGTAGAAATCACATGAAGGTCTCAGAACTGGGCCCCCAACTTGTGGCTGAAGCTTTCAGATCTGCCTAGGGGATCAAGGACACTGACCTCCTTTGTAAAGCACTTTGAAATCAGGTCTACATGAGACCTGACTTGCCAGCATCCCCATTAAACTCTGCTGCAATTCAGACCTTGCAATGCTCTCACCCTGCACAATACACTTCCCTGGTGTTGTCTGTGCCGTGCTTGACTCCAAACCTGGAACGAACGTTTTCTCCAATTGTTCTTCCTAATCAGGGTACTTAGTTTTGCAGTTTGGAGGGGTAGAAAGTGCCTCTCTGCTGAGGTTTAGGCCCTGAGGGTAGTAAAATGAATGTCCTCTTGAGAGGGAGCAAGGACCAGGAAGAATTGCTGTGCTTGTTTCCAAGGAGCCTGCCCTTGGAGATATGGTCTAGGGACAAGCATGTGCCAACAAGCAGGAGCTGAGCTAGGCTTGAGTGAGTCTGCATGCTGTGCGCGGATTGAATAGAAGCAGCCTGATCCCCCCGCTGTACAACAGCAGGCTCTTTATTTAATGAACTTTGATCTGTCAGAGCCCGGTGCTGTAATTAACTCGAGGGAACAATTTATGCGTGTGACTCAGGAAGAGGGAGGGGACTTTCCAAAAATATTCCTCGGTGGAGAGACGGAGCAGTAGGAGCTCAGACATGGCATCTGTCGCTGGGGCTGTGCTTCCCCTGTACGGGCTGGAAGTCATGGACCCTGTGGCCAGTTCACTTGCTAGTTTGGGAGCTCACTCGGGCCACGCTCGCTGGGCAAAGGCAGTCAGAGCAATTTTGACAAATGCCTTTTTACTGAGACATGCTGCTTTGTTGAAGCCGCTGCATTTCTCTTTCCACAAAATATTCAGGGAGAGATTCCCGGGGTCCAAGGTGGTCTCCCTCGTCACCTCCGACTAGAAAGAGAGAGAAGAGAGAAGCAAATTGACAAAGAGGTTTGGGCACAATCCCAGTTCAGAGCAGCAGGGGGGAGGTTTGGTCCCTGTCCGAGGTGCAACAAAAAGTTTCCCAAACCTCTTCTGAGCTGTCACAAGCAGAGCAGCCGTCCCTCCATCCAGCTCTACTCGCTGGCTTATGCTACGACAGGCCCTTGTGGCAAGAGCAACATGCCGTAGTCCTTTCCTGCAGTTCTTGTCTTAAAATGCTCTGCCTTCTCCTGCCCTGGGTCACTGGTGAACTAAACACGAGCAAGCAAGGCTTCAGAGATATCTTGGGCCGGATTCAAAATCTATTGCTAGCTATAGAAGGAGGCCGCTTAATTTGAAAAGGGAAGGGCCAGACCTGAGATCTCAAAGAGAAAAGATGAAATGCCCAAGCGCATGATTTAAAAATAGACTCAAACGAAAAGTTGTCTGGATGTCGTTACTCACGATACCGACTGCTGTGTGCTGTGGAAAGCGTAGTGATGAGGAAGACGAGATCAATCGCTTGCATTGCTTGCGGCGAGAGGAATAGATTGGATTCCAGGAGGTCCCCCAGGACCTGCTGTTTGTTTTATGCGGCTGGCACTCGGATGCGACAGTCCGGGGCAACAGCGCAAACCCAGTGAAAGACATCGTAGTTTTGGTCCCCTTCAGAAAGCTGACTCGGTGGGAGGGCTTAGGAGTGCATACAGCTCCCTTCTCACTAATAAGAAATCCTTGTAGGGAGAAGCAAGCCCACTTCTGCTTAGTGAGTGCACAGTTCTGGTTTTAAATGCCGCTCTATAGGGCACGACTGCAGGGATAGCATTCGTAGCTCAGTTCAGCTGGATTTTTGTTAAGCATCAAGAGCCAAAGAATCTCATTCAGGAGCATTATGTGGAGCCTAAAAGCAGGAGAGATTTTTATTGCTCTGACTCCTAACTAGCAACTGCATGGCAGGCCAGTATTAGAAGCCAGTGACTGGTGCCTGAAATACAAAAGTAGCTCTTCTATGCTCAGTGCCCTTTGGGTACCTCAAAAGGGCAGGCAGCTGAAGGACACTGCTGCCACTACAGACACATAGCACCCACTGACAATATGAGTATCAATGAGAAAATGGGCCCTGAAGACGGGACAGTTTACCCGTACCCTCTTTAGGTTGCAGACTGGATTGCTAAGTGGCCAGTTGATTCTTGCGGCTTGAGCGATGGTACCCTCGCACTGCAGTATATAACCTAGTGTTCCTGTTTGGCCAGATGGGAAAAGCTGTTTAGAGAGCCCGTTGAAGTGGTTGTTCTGTTAAGTGCCAGCTTTCTTTACTAACTTTGTATTGCACTCAGCATACATTAGCTGCAGGATTAGAAGAATGCTCATTGCATCCGGCATGCCATACTTAGCGGATGGTCTAATCGTGATGATCAGAGAGTTAACAAGCCTGGCTTTGCACAAAGCAGCTTAGTCCCTAAGGCAGGCTAAAGGTGACATTGTGACCTCGTTACACAGCCAAGGTCCTACAACAAGCACAGGTAAGAGCTTTGCGCTAGATATGCTTGCAGCAACACGGCTGCCTGTCCAGCAGCAGGTGTCCACATGGCACAGAACTGAACAGGGCTTTCCCATAGCTTTGCAAAGGTGGGCAGAAAAGCTTCCCAAAGATCAGTACTAAAAGTTTCATTTCCCGCCAGGACCAAATTCTTAGCATGCCCAAGGTGACACTGTCAGCATGCCCAAGGGGGAACTACTTGGGGTACATATTGCCAACATTTGCCTGCTCATTTCCGATGTCTTCCTCATGCCATTTGTATCATCGTCACTTGGCTACATAGACATTTGACACTCAGATGAATTTTTAGCTGTTTCTTTAGAGTCATCTCTTAAGATAACGAAGAGTCAAAGCGCCTCTGTGGAACTCTGTTGTCTATTAACAGTGCTCCAGGATGCTTCACCGAGGGCAGCCTTAGTGGAAGTATAGCTATCATTTGCTTCCTTAAGGCAACTCCTGACTCAGTGGCTTGGAAGGGAGTTTGGCCTGATTAAGCCTTGCAGGCAGAAGGACACCCACAACACACCCAGGTATGATGACTGTAGCTTGATCAGCTTGGTGATGGTTAATCCAGTGCCACTGCACAACAAGATTTGGTCATTTGTGTTTCTGAAAGTCCTTAAGTTAAGCCATGGCCCCCAGTTCAGCTACCAGCCTCCTGAGAGCAAAATCTCTTGGGGAAAATGTCTGAGAAAAATACACCACTGTAAGAGAGAGTACCGAACGCATCTCTATCAGGAGAAAAACCCGCCTGGGGATGGCAGGCCCCACTGGAGACCACGTGGCCATTTGTGTTTGGTGGGGAGGCTGAACCCTTCTGGGCGCAGGGCGGGTGGGAGAGTGAGCACCGCAGCTCTGCCAAGGTACTTTCCAGGAGAGGGTGCAGATAGCCACCAAATATCTCCACTGCCTTGCTGTGGCTTGTGCTGGGCTGCTTGACTAGCTGGTATGAAGTTGCTGTTGACAGTTCTTGCTCTTGCATATCTCATGGCTGCGTGCGGAGGAAGCTGCGATACTAGCTGCAGGGGTTAAGAGCTGAAACGTTGCGATCAAGCTTGGTCTAATTCTCTAGTGTGTGTGTCCTGGATGAGGTGCTGGCTGGATCAAGGCTCCGTGCATCACCCAGCCAGATTGTTGCTGTTCCCACTGCTGTAAATTTAGGGCAAAAAAATAAATGAGCTACAACTCCCCGCGCCTCCCGCGGAACGGAAGGTCAAGCACTGCATGGTGCCTTCCCTCCTCTCCCCTGCAAGCACAGTACGAATTTGAACACACCCTGCTTAACAGCCTGTTGCTGCGGAAAGTAAGGCAGTTCTGTTTTGATTTTGGTAGATAAACTTGTGCCGTGGAAGTCATTCGGGCAAAGTGAAGAGGTCATGATGAGAAGCACGTGTCAGCATTCGGGACAGCGCTGGGAGGTGGTTTGGAAAAGCCAGGAATGTGGAAGAACGCATTTGTGAGTGCCCCCGGGGGGAACGGTCCGAGCTGCTCTGTTCCCTTTACTACGGTCCGATCGAGTGATTATTACCTGCCCCCGCTGGCCCTTTGTGTGAAGTGGTATATGGGTGTGGTATAAACGTACTGTATGCACATTGCTATATTTAACAAATGATATCTTAGAACCACAGTGTAAATGCTAACTTAACTAGATTTCTATGTAACCTGAATTTTATATACATCGATTTCCTCTTTTCTAATTTAAGCTGTTTCATGTGTATAAATGTACCGATAGGAAAGTCTATTAAACTATATCTTTGTACAGTATATACATAGTATTCTACCCGTGCAAAATATTTTTTGCAGTGGTATTGGGGAAGTCACAACTTACTCCATTTGAATTCTACTGGAAGACTAGTAATAAAGTTGTCATGTGTCAGCCGCTCCCTGAGTTCTTGCTGTTCTTTGCAGGGCCCTAAAGATGTCAGTCTTGATTTAGTTTTATTAACAGAACCACAGCTCGTCTTGGTTTGCAGTGTCAGTGTGCGAACAGCTTTCCACTTCCCTCGGCCGGGCCCAGGTCTGTTGTTTTCTAAGCGAAGGACATTACCTAGCGGGAACTGAGACTCAAGGCTGCCACCGCCTCTGAACCAGCTTACAAACCCTACACAGCCCCTTCGAGCTGCAGCGGGGTGGTCTGGGAGGTGTGATGCCGGCTGCTTGTTGCAACTGAGACACTGGTCTGCTGTAGCCTTAGACAGGTCACTTAGATAACCAAGTTCCAGCCAAAGTTGTTTTTTGTTTGGATCGTCCCTCGAGCCAACAGCTGCTGTATAAAAGCCCTGCTGAGCTGCCACCTAACCCTGGCAATGCTTCAACTCTACAGACATCTTTGGGATTTTTTGCTTTTTAAAAGTTCCTCTGCCTTTGCCCAGAATTGTCGCAGTCCCAGCAGCAAAGTGCCTCGCTCACCCCGAGCCTGATCACAGCCCAGGCACTAGGTGTTTCTCTGACCAAGTCTCCAAAGAGCCCAGCCTGGCAGTGTTTTCAAAGGATGCCTGGTGCCTGCGACCAAGCTGGGGCTCCCTACAACAGCCCAGTGTGACTGCCATTTTCCCTGAGTGGAGTTGGAGGAGAGGCCCGCCTTTCATTTTGATGCATGGGGGCAGTGGGAGACCTGGGTCAATCCCACCGTAGCCTCAGGGAGTCCAAACCCACATCTCTCACAGGAGTTTCCTAATCAACATGCCAGCAGTTGCTGGGGAGAGGGGGGAATCCTCATTCTCACCTTCCTAGAAACACACACTTGGCAGAAAAATCCAGGATCAATGCCACCCCTTCCCTGCAACACTAACCCTTGGAGGCAACATCAGCCAATCTACCGGCACCATTAGAAAAGGGACAGATTGAACTAATACCTGATTAAGCCTGAGAGTGTGTTGACTGCGTAGTCCCGCTGTGGTCTGGGTTGCGGCAAGGTTGGCATCGGCAGACTACGTGCTGTGGATTGCAGCAGGGCGTTGCAGCCGGGTTGCGGGAGTAATCGGCCGTAGACACGTTGTCTGTTGCAATATCCTGCAGAATGTCGGCGAAAGCCCTGGTTACTGCAGGAAACACGGCCTGGTACTCGCTGGACTTCGTATCCAAAGGCTCCTGCTCCTGGGCATCGCGCTCCAGATTAAACATGAGTGGTGGGTCATGATGCTCCTCCAGCCCAATGCTCCCATCACAAGCTTTTGCTCCCCCTGAAACAAAACCACAACAACGTGTTCCAGGGGCCGCGGGACCCTGCTGCAGGGTCATTCCTCGCCAGCTGTGCTAGACTCGTAAGGGGATGTCACAAGTAGCAGGTAGCTCTCCAAGGAAGGGTCCTAGATGAGACAGAACTACAGCAAACTAGCTGATCGGAGGCAAGGAACTAAGTAGGACACACCTCTCATCCCTAGCCCAGTTCCCACACTGCTGGGCTTTGTGTAACCAGCTGGAAGCAGAAAGCAAACCCCTTTTCATGTGGAGTTAGGCTAGGAAACGCAGACGTTTCCTAGGGTACAGCTGCACCATGGCAGAAGCTGCCATAAGAGCCTCTCCAGCTCTCTGGGGACGGTGCTAGCACAAGCAATCCATGAAGTGACTTGCTCCATGATTTGGCAAAGGCCTTGCCTGAAAGTAAGTACAGCTCTGAAATTCAGTGCTGGGTCAGAAACTCCAGCTGGGCTTCAAATCCTTCAATGCAGCGGCCTTCGGGTTTGCAGGGGCAGACCCCAGGATGATGTGGTGGTGAAACGATGGTTTTGGAAAGCTCTACACACAAGGGAAACATAGCAAGGTGTCCTGGGGGCTGGAGTCTGGGTTGCTGTAAAAAGGAAGAGCAAAGCAAAAAGGGAAAATACGAGGTACACCAGCATAGCCATGAAGCTGCTCAGGTTAAACATCAACGCAGGGAGGCCAGAAACTGGCTCTGACCGGAGAAGCTGTCACCCACCAGGTGATGGAGGCAGGCCCAGCAGGTCTGAGGCTGGGTGAGGGACCCACTTCGGTCAGCCACCCTCTGAGGGTAAATGGATGTGAGCTCCCACCAAGCACCGAGGGAAACAGCACTCCCTAGACTGCTGGGGTTTCTCATCAAGAGCCTTCATCTTCACCTATTTTTGAAATGCCTCTGGCTGTCCCCTTCCCATAGCTTCGTTTCCAGACATCACCAGGACTGGCAATAGCGACCAGTGCAGCAATGGCACCAGCAACAGCACTGTGGCAAAAAGTCAGCAGGATACTCAAGCACCTGCCTTTGAGCATGTCTGTCGAAGTCACGGGTCTGCGTGCCTTGCTGAGTCTGCGCAGGAGCTGCCCGTGCTCTGCGAGGCGTCCGTAGCCCTGGAGCCTGCATCCCACTTTCACTGCAAAACTGTTTCAAAGGCCACCTTTGCGGTGCGCAGCCTACCTCCTTTGCTCAGCCATCAGCAAATGCAGGAGAGATGCTTCTGGGAGGGGGCAGCTCATTGTCTGGATCTGTTCTTGTACTGGGTTTTTAACCTTCTCCAAAGAAGCTGGGACTCTGGCTATGGGCCTGTCTAAATGTGGACCAGACACTCTACCTGTCGTGTAAAAAGCCTTGTACTGAGCCAGCCGTAGTGCTTTTATCTCTCCGTCCTTTCCAGCCGCTCCGCTGTTGGGGTGGAACAATGTCTAAAGGGAAACGAGAAGGCAGCAGGTGAGCGAGGACCGAACTTATCTTCCCCTGACCTGAGCTCTGACCCATTCCCCCCCTACAAACCCGTGCAGAGACACCCATTCTGCTTCCCCCGCAACAGCCAGTCTTGCGGACCAAGCCTCTTGTAGAAGAAAAGCTCTGCCAAAAGACCCCTAGGCATTAAGGCTGGGGGAAAGGAAGAGCCATTGATGCTCCTCAGCTGTGACCCCCCTGGACCTCAGAGCACGGTGTGGTTACTGTTGGGCCGTAGCAAATCTGCCTGTTGGCTTTGTTGTTACCATACTCTTCGCTCTTGCTTTTGAGCCTCCTCTCCTTGAACATCATCCTGTTCCTCGAGGCGGAGCCCATTTCCCTCCCCAGGGTGCACCATGATACACTGGGGAAATGTGATCATCCGGGTCACCTGTTCATAATGATCCCTCTTGTTTTCCCAGCTCATTGTTAAGCAACAGTGAGTATCCATCTTAAAAGCTGCTTCAAATGAGGGAGTTCCCTGCCACGGGTGGCAATGCCCTTCTATTGCTCTAAGCAATGATTTCGTAGATATTAGGGCTGGAAGGGACCCCGTGAGATAATGAGGAAGCACAAGGGTGTGACACAGTCAGTGGGTTTCATAGACATATGGGGCTGGAAGGGACCTCGTGACACAATGAGGTGTGACACAGTCAGCGAGAGCAAAGTCTGCACTGTGCCTGAGCAATGCGGGTGCACAGCATTATTTCTACTTGCCTGAAACACAGCGAGTGCTAACAGAAACCCTGCTCTGTCCCTTCCTCAACCCGGCTGCGCCAGCTTCCGCACACCGCTGCGCAACCCAGCCTGGCTCTGCCCTATAAGGCCAACCACGTTGCATTTTCCCGTCAGATGCCAGCTCTGCTGCAAGGGTCTGGCGTGAAAACAGTGGCTGGACTGAGAGTTAGGAGCCTTGTTAAGGGCTCAGGCTTTTCAGAGGGGAGGGGGCAGTGCCTTTTGGGAGCTGGCAAACAGACTGTGATTTGCACGGAGGTGCCTATATTCCCCTACTATAATTTTCCCCCCGCCGGAGAAAGCCAGACAGTGCAGCAGCATGCCAGCAAGACTTGCGGGTCACTCCTCTCCTGCTATTATTACAGCTGAGTTAGTGGCAGGGACATCTGAGAGATCCTGACGGTTATCCGAGGCCAGCAAGCAGGCCACGAGTTCACAATGACTTCATGTCTCTTGTCAAGCGGAGGTTGTGCTTGGCGTTTGGGCAGTGCAACAGCACAGTTCATCTCCTCTGACTCACCCAATTTGTCCTAAGGACTCTCCCTTCGTGAGCAGCGAGAGCCCTGCGGAGGGGAGCTAGGACGACGGGGTGGGGTTGATTATGTCTCAGCCAAAATCTGACACCCTCCATCTGTACAAGACGATCCCCCGGGGCCCCAGATAGAGTTGCAGGGAAAGTGAACCCATGCTTCTGGGGGCTTGTCTCTCCATGAATATCTCCTTGGATCACCGCTGCTCCATATGAGGCTGAATCACGAGAGGTTCCCTCCCTGGGAAGCAGTTAAAATGATTCATAAAGTTTCCGCTGGGCTAAAAATGAGAAACATCTGCTGAGGTGGTAGGCAGCTGCCTGGTCAAGTTTAGCAACAGCATTCACAGCTGATCAGCGATACGGTTACTTAGCAGGTGTCCCAGCCTGCAGCCTCTGGACCGTACAGGCTAGCACGCCCAGGCAAATATTATCTGTGCCTTCAACTACATCCAAGTGCAAACCACACCCGAGAACAGCTTTGCCTTTCATTTTTCCCCGACGGAGGAAAGACTAGGGCCATAACTCATTAGTGGGCAGTGGAAAATAGAGCAGAGGCTCGGTCAGACTGTGCAGCATCCAGCCAGCGTGTCGACATCCGTTCATCCCTTTGCAAAGGCCCTTGTGTCCCAGCCAGAGCGTCTATCATGGAGCTAGCAACCATCCCAAAGGTCAACAGGGCTATAATAGTTCAACAGGGCATCTCTCCTCTTGCATCCCAAAATAGCAGGAGGAGCCAACACTGCAGTGCCTTGGAAAGGCATTAGCACCAGGGACCTTCCTCTGAGCGCGTGCTGTACTGCACACATGGCGTTTTCCTGACGGGACACACAAGGTTCTTTGGGTAGATGTGATATCTTTTATTAGACCAACTAAATAGTTGGAAAATATTGTTCCAACAATTGCAAGCTGTTGGGCACAAGCGCCCTTCTTCAGGCGTATCGAGAGTCTGCTGGGGAAATGTGAGCTCTCCTGGGTAGAACAGAAGACCCTTGGAGAAGTGACCTCTCTGTTGGAGAAGCTTCCAAATAAAGCTCAAAGGCCTGATAAGCAGGGATCCTGGTTTTCTCTGATAAAAAAAATCCCCAACTTTCAATTAAAAAAAAAAAATTAAGCCAAAATCCACATTTTTCCATGATCAAAATCAAATGTCACTAATATATAGATATATATATAGTAGTGTTGCATTTCGATCACGGAAAAATGTAGATTTTGGCTTACTTTTTTTTTTTTAACTGAAAATTGTTTTTTTGGTTTTTATCAGAGAAAACCAGGATCCCTCCATACACAAATCGACCGCACAATTTCCAGCAGCGTTCATCCATACATCTCAAGCACTAGACTGGGTACTCGCGCTGCCCGGTGAAGTGAGGAAGTGTCCAGATGCCATTTTACACGTGAGACTCGGGCCCAGAGACCGAAGCTGTGTTACAGAGATGCGGCTAAGTTCTGCTCTCTGTTACTGCAGCTCGAACCTGCGGATTTCAGCGGGGTTTGCACGGGTGAGACTGAGAGCAGATACTTCATTTCCGTGGTTGTAAAACGCTCCGGTGATTTATGGCCGCTGGAGCGCATGAGGTGACGCAGAGAACACATAAAAGGATTTTTAAAAAGAGAAGCCAAGCAAACCAGAGGACTTCTGACCCATATCTGCATCCTCTTCGATGTGGGAACAAAATAGAGGGTGAGAGCAAGGAGACAGCATGGGAAGTCAAAATCCCCTGCTCAGCAGCTCTCCAGAAAGGATCGATATTGTATGGGGAGGGGGAGATCCAGACTCTCCATCAAACTGTCTTCGGCTTTCGGTCAGGGGTTGCAATAAATCCAGCCGGGAGCAGCCTCGCTGCATTTCGGGTTGGTTGCAGGATGAATGCACCCCATGCCCTACGGGTTGGCCTTCTCCCCTATGCGGTTCCCTGAAGTTCAAGAAGGCTAAGCTTGCATGGACGCTGTGGGAGCAGACGGTCTGCCGGTTGCACCCCTTCCAGATAGCACTTGATATTACTGCACGTGCCAATGCAAAGCCCCTCCACCAGCTGTTAATGAGGTTCACCAGCTGGTGGAGGGCGCTTTGAGCGGGGACGATGAATAGAGACCCTTGCTTCTCCATTCGGACTCAGGCCTCTCCTCCTCCCTGCACCTCTTGGACGTCTCTGAGCCACCTTAGCTCCTAGCGAAAGGCCCGCAGCCCATTGCTCAATTGGGACCCTCTCTGGCTGCCTCAGTTGCAGCCATTTGAGCCCCCTTATTACATGGAGACATCAGTCCTCATTCAATCCCACAGTGCAAAACAGTTCACCAGGGCGTCGGAGGGGGTTGCATGCAGCGCGGTGTCACCAACATCCCTCCCAGGCTCCTGCTGTCCTGAGAGCTCGGTCAGGCAATGCAATGCTCCTGCAATACCCCTCCCTGCTTGCTTGCCTACCGCACCCAGAGACACGGGGGGCCTGTGGGTTGCTCCCGAGAGCTGGCAGCCCCTCAGCGCAGGGCTGGCTGAGCCATTGCCAGCACTGGGGTTATCCGGTGTCCCTCTAGGTATGTCTCTGGTCCTTGTCACCATAGCATCCTGCCTGGCCAGGTCCCATCCGCAGAGCCTTCCAGCTCAACCGCTCCGGGGCAGAACAATTCCTTGCATTCAGCCCTCCTGGCCGAGGCAGCTCACGATTCGGCTAAGCTGTGCGAGGAATGCTGTTACCAGGAGAGCCGGGGAGCTCGGGCGCTGGAATGCCGGTTAGTCCTGGCCTTTCACAGGCCCAAGCCTGTTTGGAGAAAAGGGGCTGGAAGCAGGGGGAGAGATGGGGGAGAAGCAGAAAAATACGTTGTTGATGAGTTGCTGCTTTTCTAGAAAACAGTGGAGGCACAGATGGACCCTCCGAAGGGTCCCGACAGCGCTCCGAGCCGTTTCCTCGGGGCAGCCCCGCTCCCGGACACCTGCCTTTGAGCATGTCTGTCGAAGTCACGGGTCTGCGTGCCTTGCTGAGTCTGCGCAGGAGCTGCCCGTGCTCTGCGAGGCGTCCGTAGCCCTGGAGCCTGCATCCCACTTTCACTGCAAAACTGTTTCAAAGGCCACCTTTGCGGTGCGCAGCCTACCTCCTTTGCTCAGCCATCAGCAAATGCAGGAGAGATGCTTCTGGGAGGGGGCAGCTCATTGTCTGGATCTGTTCTTGTACTGGGTTTTTAACCTTCTCCAAAGAAGCTGGGACTCTGGCTATGGGCCTGTCTAAATGTGGACCAGACACTCTACCTGTCGTGTAAAAAGCCTTGTACTGAGCCAGCCGTAGTGCTTTTATCTCTCCGTCCTTTCCAGCCGCTCCGCTGTTGGGGTGGAACAATGTCTAAAGGGAAACGAGAAGGCAGCAGGTGAGCGAGGACCGAACTTATCTTCCCCTGACCTGAGCTCTGACCCATTCCCCCCCTACAAACCCGTGCAGAGACACCCATTCTGCTTCCCCCGCAACAGCCAGTCTTGCGGACCAAGCCTCTTGTAGAAGAAAAGCTCTGCCAAAAGACCCCTAGGCATTAAGGCTGGGGGAAAGGAAGAGCCATTGATGCTCCTCAGCTGTGACCCCCCTGGACCTCAGAGCACGGTGTGGTTACTGTTGGGCCGTAGCAAATCTGCCTGTTGGCTTTGTTGTTACCATACTCTTCGCTCTTGCTTTTGAGCCTCCTCTCCTTGAACATCATCCTGTTCCTCGAGGCGGAGCCCATTTCCCTCCCCAGGGTGCACCATGATACACTGGGGAAATGTGATCATCCGGGTCACCTGTTCATAATGATCCCTCTTGTTTTCCCAGCTCATTGTTAAGCAACAGTGAGTATCCATCTTAAAAGCTGCTTCAAATGAGGGAGTTCCCTGCCACGGGTGGCAATGCCCTTCTATTGCTCTAAGCAATGATTTCGTAGATATTAGGGCTGGAAGGGACCCCGTGAGATAATGAGGAAGCACAAGGGTGTGACACAGTCAGTGGGTTTCATAGACATATGGGGCTGGAAGGGACCTCGTGACACAATGAGGTGTGACACAGTCAGCGAGAGCAAAGTCTGCACTGTGCCTGAGCAATGCGGGTGCACAGCATTATTTCTACTTGCCTGAAACACAGCGAGTGCTAACAGAAACCCTGCTCTGTCCCTTCCTCAACCCGGCTGCGCCAGCTTCCGCACACCGCTGCGCAACCCAGCCTGGCTCTGCCCTATAAGGCCAACCACGTTGCATTTTCCCGTCAGATGCCAGCTCTGCTGCAAGGGTCTGGCGTGAAAACAGTGGCTGGACTGAGAGTTAGGAGCCTTGTTAAGGGCTCAGGCTTTTCAGAGGGGAGGGGGCAGTGCCTTTTGGGAGCTGGCAAACAGACTGTGATTTGCACGGAGGTGCCTATATTCCCCTACTATAATTTTCCCCCCGCCGGAGAAAGCCAGACAGTGCAGCAGCATGCCAGCAAGACTTGCGGGTCACTCCTCTCCTGCTATTATTACAGCTGAGTTAGTGGCAGGGACATCTGAGAGATCCTGACGGTTATCCGAGGCCAGCAAGCAGGCCACGAGTTCACAATGACTTCATGTCTCTTGTCAAGCGGAGGTTGTGCTTGGCGTTTGGGCAGTGCAACAGCACAGTTCATCTCCTCTGACTCACCCGATTTGTCCTAAGGACTCTCCCTTCGTGAGCAGCGAGAGCCCTGCGGAGGGGAGCTAGGACGACGGGGTGGGGTTGATTATGTCTCAGCCAAAATCTGACACCCTCCATCTGTACAAGACGATCCCCCGGGGCCCCAGATAGAGTTGCAGGGAAAGTGAACCCATGCTTCTGGGGGCTTGTCTCTCCATGAATATCTCCTTGGATCACCGCTGCTCCATATGAGGCTGAATCACGAGAGGTTCCCTCCCTGGGAAGCAGTTAAAATGATTCATAAAGTTTCCGCTGGGCTAAAAATGAGAAACATCTGCTGAGGTGGTAGGCAGCTGCCTGGTCAAGTTTAGCAACAGCATTCACAGCTGATCAGCGATACGGTTACTTAGCAGGTGTCCCAGCCTGCAGCCTCTGGACCGTACAGGCTAGCACGCCCAGGCAAATATTATCTGTGCCTTCAACTACATCCAAGTGCAAACCACACCCGAGAACAGCTTTGCCTTTCATTTTTCCCCGACGGAGGAAAGACTAGGGCCATAACTCATTAGTGGGCAGTGGAAAATAGAGCAGAGGCTCGGTCAGACTGTGCAGCATCCAGCCAGCGTGTCGACATCCGTTCATCCCTTTGCAAAGGCCCTTGTGTCCCAGCCAGAGCGTCTATCATGGAGCTAGCAACCATCCCAAAGGTCAACAGGGCTATAATAGTTCAACAGGGCATCTCTCCTCTTGCATCCCAAAATAGCAGGAGGAGCCAACACTGCAGTGCCTTGGAAAGGCATTAGCACCAGGGACCTTCCTCTGAGCGCGTGCTGTACTGCACACATGGCGTTTTCCTGACGGGACACACAAGGTTCTTTGGGTAGATGTGATATCTTTTATTAGACCAACTAAATAGTTGGAAAATATTGTTCCAACAATTGCAAGCTGTTGGGCACAAGCGCCCTTCTTCAGGCGTATCGAGAGTCTGCTGGGGAAATGTGAGCTCTCCTGGGTAGAACAGAAGACCCTTGGAGAAGTGACCTCTCTGTTGGAGAAGCTTCCAAATAAAGCTCAAAGGCCTGATAAGCAGGGATCCTGGTTTTCTCTGATAAAAAAAATCCCCAACTTTCAATTAAAAAAAAAAAATTAAGCCAAAATCCACATTTTTCCATGATCAAAATCAAATGTCACTAATATATAGATATATATATAGTAGTGTTGCATTTCGATCACGGAAAAATGTAGATTTTGGCTTACTTTTTTTTTTTTAACTGAAAATTGTTTTTTTGGTTTTTATCAGAGAAAACCAGGATCCCTCCATACACAAATCGACCGCACAATTTCCAGCAGCGTTCATCCATACATCTCAAGCACTAGACTGGGTACTCGCGCTGCCCGGTGAAGTGAGGAAGTGTCCAGATGCCATTTTACACGTGAGACTCGGGCCCAGAGACCGAAGCTGTGTTACAGAGATGCGGCTAAGTTCTGCTCTCTGTTACTGCAGCTCGAACCTGCGGATTTCAGCGGGGTTTGCACGGGTGAGACTGAGAGCAGATACTTCATTTCCGTGGTTGTAAAACGCTCCGGTGATTTATGGCCGCTGGAGCGCATGAGGTGACGCAGAGAACACATAAAAGGATTTTTAAAAAGAGAAGCCAAGCAAACCAGAGGACTTCTGACCCATATCTGCATCCTCTTCGATGTGGGAACAAAATAGAGGGTGAGAGCAAGGAGACAGCATGGGAAGTCAAAATCCCCTGCTCAGCAGCTCTCCAGAAAGGATCGATATTGTATGGGGAGGGGGAGATCCAGACTCTCCATCAAACTGTCTTCGGCTTTCGGTCAGGGGTTGCAATAAATCCAGCCGGGAGCAGCCTCGCTGCATTTCGGGTTGGTTGCAGGATGAATGCACCCCATGCCCTACGGGTTGGCCTTCTCCCCTATGCGGTTCCCTGAAGTTCAAGAAGGCTAAGCTTGCATGGACGCTGTGGGAGCAGACGGTCTGCCGGTTGCACCCCTTCCAGATAGCACTTGATATTACTGCACGTGCCAATGCAAAGCCCCTCCACCAGCTGTTAATGAGGTTCACCAGCTGGTGGAGGGCGCTTTGAGCGGGGACGATGAATAGAGACCCTTGCTTCTCCATTCGGACTCAGGCCTCTCCTCCTCCCTGCACCTCTTGGACGTCTCTGAGCCACCTTAGCTCCTAGCGAAAGGCCCGCAGCCCATTGCTCAGTTGGGACCCTCTCTGGCTGCCTCAGTTGCAGCCATTTGAGCCCCCTTATTACATGGAGACATCAGTCCTCATTCAATCCCACAGTGCAAAACAGTTCACCAGGGCGTCGGAGGGGGTTGCATGCAGCGCGGTGTCACCAACATCCCTCCCAGGCTCCTGCTGTCCTGAGAGCTCGGTCAGGCAATGCAATGCTCCTGCAATACCCCTCCCTGCTTGCTTGCCTACCGCACCCAGAGACACGGGGGGCCTGTGGGTTGCTCCCGAGAGCTGGCAGCCCCTCAGCGCAGGGCTGGCTGAGCCATTGCCAGCACTGGGGTTATCCGGTGTCCCTCTAGGTATGTCTCTGGTCCTTGTCACCATAGCATCCTGCCTGGCCAGGTCCCATCCGCAGAGCCTTCCAGCTCAACCGCTCCGGGGCAGAACAATTCCTTGCATTCAGCCCTCCTGGCCGAGGCAGCTCACGATTCGGCTAAGCTGTGCGAGGAATGCTGTTACCAGGAGAGCCGGGGAGCTCGGGCGCTGGAATGCCGGTTAGTCCTGGCCTTTCACAGGCCCAAGCCTGTTTGGAGAAAAGGGGCTGGAAGCAGGGGGAGAGATGGGGGAGAAGCAGAAAAATACGTTGTTGATGAGTTGCTGCTTTTCTAGAAAACAGTGGAGGCACAGATGGACCCTCCGAAGGGTCCCGACAGCGCTCCGAGCCGTTTCCTCGGGGCAGCACAGCTCACGGAAACCCTTGTTTCCCAACTCACTCTGCCTTCCTCTGTTCCCGAACTCCAGCAGAGAGAGGGAGGGTCCTCAGCCCTTTGGAGAGGCCCCCAGAAGTATGTTGGCCACCAGACAGCGGTACGTAGGGAGAAGAAGACGATCAGATGGTTAGATGAGGCCTGTTATATCCCGAGAACATGTCACATCATCTAAAAATTCCCCCTGAGACTAGATTAGAGACTAGATTCTGGTTCCTCTGAAAGCTTCTCACCCAACTACAGACAAGAGATGGGGCGAGGAGAACATATCAAACGAAAGGGTAGCAATATCAAACATATCAAACGGAAGGGTAGCAAAACCAAGGAATCTTGTCTGCAAAATAAAAGACACATTTTTGTGCTTTACTACGGAAAGAGCCTGCAGAATTTGCTGTCATAAAGAGGGGTCAAAAAAGATGAGATGTTTGAATCAAATAAGCAGTCAGAGTAACATGATCTTAGGTACGGTACAGATCTATGAGGGATATAAACCCTCCTGCTTTCAGCTATCAGTTAAACACCAATGGCCTGAGGCCAGAATGAGAGTCCTCCTAGTAGAATGGCACTGTACAATTGTTTTCATACAATCATAGAAAATGAGGGTTGGAAGGACGTCGGGAGGTCACATCTAGTCCAAACCCCTGCTCAAAACAGGACCAGCCCCAACTCCATCATCCCAGCCAAGGCTTTGTCTACCTGGGTCTTAAAATCCTGCAAGGATGGAGAGTCCACCACCTCTCTGGGTCACCTGTTCCA